CCCACAAAGACTACAATCCTAAGCAGGTGTGCATCTGCCTCAGGGTTTGAGCAGTTGCATTCGGGTTCTCCAACCTATACCCATTTCAGCCCCATACGGACGATACCTTTCAAAAACTAACACCAAGCCGCGCTCTCTCCGCCATCTTCTACCCTGCCACACGCATATTATATATATGGTGCGTGTGGCAGGGTAGAACGACGGCTGGTGAGCGGCGTTACCCCCCATCTATCTACCTTTCCCCGATAACCATCGCGCACCCTCTTCCCCCGGACGCGCGCCCCCCACCTGGCAGCAGCTTCACTCGTTCGTGGTCCGTCTTTTTCCCCCCCACACACACACACCCACGCGGGCGCCCGACACACGCGCAACCTCCCAACCCCCCCCACACACACGCACGCGGGGTGCAGTAGCTGGTACGCAGTACGTCACACGTCACATCAACTGCTATATAATAATACACGCGAAGCGCCCGCCACACAGGGGGTTGGGGGTGGGGTGGGTGGGTGGGTGCTTACACTGGCAAAGGCTTGCTGCAGCAGCCGCAGCACCACCCGCGAGTATCCGTGAGCCAGTACGGTGCAGTTGCTGCGGATGAACCGGGAGCCCAGTTCCGCTATCGTCTGTCGAGCTCTGAGACGCACCCATAACACAGGGAGGGAGGGAGGAAGGAAGGGCGGAAGAAAGGAGGGACGAACAAAACAGAGTGTCATCATTCCCTAGACTAGGAATCGTACGATGAAGTGACAACGATGACTATGATGATGGTGATAATGATGATAACGACGACGACAACGATGCTGCTGCTGCTGATAATGATGTGCGAACGAAAAAATGCACAAGCACACCAGGACGCATCATCACCATTGGGAATAGCCCCCCCTCCCGGACCCTCAAACTGATTCACATCCACTAGCTCCCCCCCTCCACGACCCCCCCCCTCCACGAGACCCACATGACCTGGAATTCACCAAGACCTGCTCAAGACCTCCTCCTCCGCAGTGCTCTCAACTACCCACCATCCATCACCCTCGAGGTTTGTATATATGTGTGTGTGTGGTTGGGGGGGCAAACGGCGCTTTCCTTCTTTTCTCTACAAGGCACCCCCACCCCCACCCGGCGGCTTCTTGTCTTTCCTAAGCGGCACCCTCCCCACCCCCCAGACCCCCACCAGGCCCCCAGGAGCTCTCGTTCCGGGGCAAGTGGAAGCACTCGGGCCCCCCCTGGGCGACTCACCGTGTGCTGGTCTCCGCAAAGTGCAGCCCCCGCTCAATCAACCGAGCCTTGGCAATCTCAATGTCCTGCGAAGAAAACAATTATTTAATTATTTATTGCAAAAAGAAAAGAAAGGGAATGACAAAAAGGAAAGAGGAAAAAAATGAATGAGGAAACGGGTAAAATGCAGAAAAGCGGCACACCGCGCCGTAAGCATTCCCGGAAAAAGGCCTTCTCCAGAAACCGATGGTGAAATCTAGGTGCGTGTCTGAGTACGTGTCTGATGGCAGGAAGGGGCCCCCGCTCGAAGCCACCGGCGAATTCCCCTTTCACCTCCTGCTTCCGCCTTCGCCTAAAAGCCTCGGTAACTCCCACACCCAACCCCTGTGACCCAACCCTCCAACAGCCGGCCATCCTCCTTTACGCGTTGAACTTTGCGCGTTGAATCTTCTTGTGCATCCAACTTCCGTGCTAATCTTTGCATATCCAATTCCTCCGCACCAAACTTTGCGTGTTCGACTTTGCACGTTGAACTTTCCGCATTATAACGTGCTCGCAATATAACGCAATTCAATTCAACTGTCAACCGATTGCAACTGTCACCGGCCAAACTTTGCAGGCTGAAATCTGCGTGCTATCCTTTGTGCGCACCTCAAACTTTGCACGTCGACTTGTGACTACGTGTTCAACTTTGCGCACCGTGCGCGAATTTACGTACTATGCTTTGCGATCTAACTGAGCGTGTTCGACCTTCCTTTCTGCGCACCTCAAACTTTGCAAGTCGACTTGTGACTGCGTGTTCAACTTTGCGCACCGTGCGCGAATTTACGTACTATGCTTTGCGGCCTTCAATTTGTTCCGTCTTGAAGTTTGCACCGATTGCATTTTGCGTGCTGGGCCTTGTGTATTGAGTTGTGCTGCGGCCCCAACTTTGTACGCTAAATTTTGCGTGTTGAGCTTTGCATATCTAATTCTATACAGCAATAACCTTTACGTGTTCAACTTTGCGCGTTGAATTTTCTTGTGCATCCAAGTTCTCCAAGTATATATATATATACTTACCTTTTAACAGCTTTGTAAGCGTGTTTTTTTAATTTTTATTTTTTAATTAAAGACATTTTAGCTTGATTGAAAATTAACGGTTATAGAACTATGTCAGTTACTAAAAAACCTGATTTAAGCGATCCAGTTTTAAAAGCAAAATTAGCTAAAGGGATGGGTCACAATACTTACGGTGAACCAGCTTGGCCAAACGATCTATTATACATGTTCCCTGTTGTTATTTTAGGTACTTTTGCATGTATTATTGGTTTATCAGTATTAGATCCTGCGGTTATTGGTGAACCTGCTAACCCATTTGCAACTCCACTTGAAATTTTACCAGAGTGATACTTTTATCCAGTTTTCCAAATTTTACGCGTAGTACCAAACAAACTTTTAGGTGTTTTATTAATGGCAGCGGTACCTGCTGGTTTAATTTTTATCCCATTTATTGAAAGTACTAATAAATTCCAAAACCCTTATCGTCGTCCAATTGCTACGATTCTTTTCCTTTTAGGGACTTTAGTTGCAGTTTGGTTAGGTATTGGTTCTACTTATCCTATTGATATTTCTAT